ACAACACACTCGTGCGGGTGAAGGGAAATCACCCGGCCGTTTCATCACTTCGCGCCAAATAGCAAGGCAAATCTACATGACATGGTAGCAAAGGGTTGCCCCACATATCTTCTCCAGGCAACTTCTTCCAACTTTCCCCTAATTATGGTGTGAAGTTTTCCGACTAAACATAAAACAAGTGGAGATATGTGCCTAACGACAATCAATGGTCTAGTCGAATGGAAGAAACCGGGAAATGTTCAGTTTTACCCTTTCTCTATGGGACAGTTTCAAAATTCTTTGAGTTTTATAGGTTCACTAGATTGACAACCCTAGACAGGTCAAGCTGGCAGCGGTGCGGTGTGTGTGTGTGGGGGGGGGGGTGCCACAGCGCCACCCGATGTGCCAGTGCCACCCCTCCGAGCTATGGGCCAGGCCGCGGGGTATGCTAGGGCGCAAGGCGCCCCATCAGCAATCTGTTTCCAATTATGATGAGGCCACAGCTTTAGAGGGCTCGGCCTGGACGCGGGACTGCCCCGCCCAGCTCGCAGCTCGCGCGGCAGAAACCAGAGCGCAGCCGGCACTTTTATTCCTACCCACCCGACACCCGGGCATCTCACTTTCACAATGGTCACCTCCAACCATACACCGCCGGGCTGGCACAGCGGGGCAGGCGGGGCAGGCGGGGCAAGGCGGGGTGGGGTGGAGTTGGGTGGGGCAGGGCGGGGTGGCCAGGTATGCACGTGCCGCGGGGGGGCGTGGGCCAGCGCCAGCAGGGCCAGCAGCGGGTCCGGCAAGGGCCACACAGCCCAGTGCCACACTGAGCCACTGCCCCCTACCCAGGAGGCGTGGAGAAGGACCAGAAGGACCCTGTGGTCTACGTGGCGGCAGAGAAAGACTTTGTTAGGGTAGTACGTGAAGACTGACGACGACTCAATGGCGGACGAAAGGACTCCAATGAGATGGCGCGCGCGCAGAAGACGATGAAGGACTTGGTCCAGGCCTGATTTAAGGTTACTGGGGGAGGGGGGGGGTCAGGTCCAAGGGTTGTCAGATTGTCAGCAGAAGCCGCAGCTTCGCCTTCTCGGGGCGAGAACCAGAGGGGAATGTGCCGGGTGTACTATCAGAGTCTTCGCCGCAGTGTTGCTGGTTTGCCTACTAGCCCCGTCCATGCTCCGTCCGTAATGCGCCATGACTGCTCAAGGCCCTAGGGGGCGTGCAACCCCGCAACACTGCAGCGTCCGCTATGATGCGTCCGCTATGATACGCCCGCGGAACATAACTAGTGTTAACCCCGGCCAAAATGTGGGCAATCCCCCGGTCTAGAGTGAACAGCAGTGAGTAGCACGCCGCCACGCCCCGTCAGTCATCGGCTGTCAGCCTGGCTCCCTCCAGCGCCCCGACATCGATCGCTGCTGGCCCGCCCAGCCACAACACTCGCCTAACCTCACTTTAGGTCGCTTGCCTCTCCCCCCCCCCCCTTTTCCAGACAAACACATCCCAGAATACAAGTACTACTACCAATCATTAAGTAGATGCCACTCGCTTCAACCAATAGTTTTTTCGACAGTAAAAATGTCATGCCCAGGAAGTCGTCCTGAAAGTGGGATGAGAGGGGGGGGGGGGGAGCGCACACGTTGACAGCTCGCCGCCCCGCCCAAAGCCAGGCCGCCGCGCCGCGCATTGACCCAAAACTAGGTTATGTTTGGAATTTTGGGAGGCGGGGGATGGGAAGCCAGGCGGGGCGGGGAGAGGTCTTCCTGCCCGCGGGCCGCGAGGGGCGAGTCATACGCCGTGAGACTCGCTAAAGTAACGCCCGCCGGTGACAACACCACCAACACCAACGTGCCATTCATAACGGGGCGGGGAATCCATTCCTGGACAAACTAGAAACAAATCCAACAAATCTACCCATTCGCCCGTCGTCAGACGACTAGCCCGATTCGTGTCACTCGAGTGACACTTGGATAAAATCAAAGCAAAAACTCCTGCTGAAAAAAATGTAGCGTTAGAATCAACTTGTAACCATTCTGATGCCCGGAGGACCTCCGAAGAGGACACGCCCGGCCGATCCATTCTTACCTACGTCCTCGCCCTGGACGGAGGGGCCGTCCGTCTGCGGGCTGACCACGCTGCCCGCCAGGCCGCCCCCCACCCGGAGCAGCAGCAGCAGGACAATCCAAAACGAGGAAGGCGGCCCCGTGAGGCCGGGGCGCGCGGGGCAGGGCGCGGGGCGGGGCGCGCGGCGGGACACCGCGCCGAGCACTCTGTGGCTCCACAGCACTAGCACACACCACAGGGACCACAGGGACCAGGCGCCGGCGCCACGATCACCACTGACACTAGCACTGCACGGTAGGGCCTCCGGGCCGGAGCCCTCCGGGGGCCGGCGCCAACGTCTTCTACGGCGTCTCCAGCGACACCTCCACAGCTGCCTGCAGCCGGCTTGCGCCTCGCACGCGCTGCAGTGGCAGCAGAACGTCCTGCACCGGGGCTCGTCCTCAGCCCTGGCGCCACACTCGCACTCGGCGTCCTCATCATCATCGTCGTCGTCGTCTTCGCCCGCGTGGGTGTCGATGGGGGCGGCGTCCGCGTAGGGGCACCCAACGCAGGGGTGCTGCAGGCGGGCGCTGGCCGCGGACGGCAAGGGACCTCCAGGGTCTGGCGGCGATGTCCAGGATCCCGTGGGCGGCGCGGCGGCGCTCATGGGGACACAGGGGGTCCAGGGCGGCGGGGCCTCGGGTGAGGCCCGCGCCGAGGCCCACTCCCGGGGGCTCATGTCGAGCGCTGGCGGGGGCTTGGGCCGAGGCTTGGGCCGAGGCTGGCCCGCGGGCGAGGCGACATCACTCCTGCTACGCCTTGGTCCGCTAGAGCCTCGCTCCGTTCGGCCTGGGTTCTGGCTGGGATCGCCTGGCCTGCCTGGCTCGGCGCAAGCTCGGCTCCTACACGCAGCACTTCTCGCTCTGCTCCAACTCGGTTTCACTTCACATGCCTGTGCCTGGCGCGCGCTGCTCGGCGCGGAGCAGGCCAGGGGCTCGGCGGCGGCAACACACGGGGCGGAGGCTCCTCGCCACGGGCACGGCGTTAGCACGGCGTTAGCACAGCGGACACGACGCACTCAAAACAAACAACAACGATGGAAAGGGGGTGGGGGGGCGCGGAGCGACGCGACGTGAACCCGCTCGCAGACCGACCACTACGCAACTAACCCCAGTTTGTTTTCGTAGCAAGCTGAGCGAGCGGCAGCGGCGCGGCGGGGCGGACGAGCGGACGGCCTGCGACTCGGATCGGTCCGTCTGCGTGTCGCCCCCACCCCCTCGCCCGAACCTTGCCGGGGCCGCGTCCGGGAGGCGGCCGGCGCGTGCTCGCTCGCTCCCCCGCGGACGCCCGTCTCCCTCTGTCTCTCCCTCTCCGTCGCTCCGCCTCCTCCCCGCTCACGCGGCCCCCGCCGTCGCTCCGCTCCGACGGAAAAAAATCAATGGCGGCGCGGCTGTGCTGCGCGGCGCTGCGCGGTGCTCACGGCGGCGGCAGCGCGGGCGTGACGTCACCGTCACCATGGCGACGGGGCGTATGGCCGGGCCGGGCGCGTAGTACGGCTAGCCGCCGCTGCGCCTCGCCTGCCCTGCCCCTCAAACGGATACAAACAAAACCAGGGATGTTAGACGGCTCCCAGCGTATTATCGTACCAACCTTCCGAAATTATCGTACGCAGGGTCAAAATTATCGTACATTTCCAAAAAATTACAATTTTGGCCCAAATAAGGGAAAATTTACATTTTAACAGTATAATAAGTGTTTCTATGTAGCCAAAAGGTCGCTAGATAAAGAGAAAATAAGGTTTTGAGGCTGCGTTTCTCACTCAGAGGTTGGCTACAAAGCGGTGGTGGGGACTGGGCCCCAGACTCCCCCCTCCTTCACCCGCTGTCCCTCGTCCCTCTCCCTCCTTCTCTCTCTTCGCTAGGTATGCTTCTCTCTCGCGGAGTTGTTGCTGAGGGGTGGAGGGGGGCGAGCTTGCGCGCGGCAAATGGAATTTTATTCAAACTGATGGAGATTCAGCACCTTACGAGAGCCATATATAGGCAATTATAGGGAAAAATCGGTCCAAACCGAAATTATCGTACATTTGGCGTACGATCATGGGTCACGATCGTACATCGTACGGAGGGTCGAAATTATCGTACGCGTACGATAATATCGTACGCTATAACATCCCTGAACAAAACACTAAAAATTGTTTCGGCTCGGCTCGGCCGCTCGCCGTGGCAGCGAGCTGGCAGCGCCGCCCGCCGCTCGGCTCAGCCCAGCTCGGAGGCTCGGAGGCCGACGGCCGCGCTTTCGGCTCGGCTCGGACTGCGTCTAGTTCAGGACCGTGCTGTCCTTGTCGCGCGCCCGGAGCCCAGGGCTGCGAGCGAGCGAGAGGGCGGCCGCGGGCAGGGAGGAGAGCAAGAGCCGCTTGTGGTCTTGGACGCCGCCGCGGTGGTGGATCGGCTCCGCTCGCCCTGCTTCGGCATGACTCGGCTCGACCAGGTTGGGGTTCGGCCGGGCCGAGCGCCGCCCTTCTCCCGCCCTTCTCCTGCCCCGCGCCCCGCGCTGTGTCTCGTCAGCTCGTCAGGGGGCTGCATTTGAAATGGCCGCACCACCTCCTGTCTCGATCGCTCCCCGCGCGCAGTCGGAGGGGCCGAGAGGCGTGAGGGAGAAAGGCAAGAGCCGCCGCCGCCGCCCCCTGCTCCCACCCCGGGCCCGCGCCGCACAGCGCCGCACAGCGCCGCGCCACGCCCGACATGAGATATCGCGCTTACTGCCGCGACGTGAATGGCGGAGTGGAGCGTTGTCAGGGAGCCACTCGGCGGGTCCACCCCCCCTTTCCCTTTCCCCATCCCTTCCCGGAGGAGACTGCTGGAGGAGGACGACCTAGGACATGCGTTACAATATTGTGATGAAGCATTGACGAGACTCGCCTGTCACGACTTATTTCTATTCTTTGGACATATGTGGGTGGGTTGCCTACACTGCAGAGAAAATTGCCTATCTTCTAGGCTGCTCACTAGAGCTGACAGATGCCCACTGCACCTGCCACATATGAGCCCACCTGTGACATCTAAATACGCGCAGTAGACAGGCACAGGCGCGAGACTATTACTGTGCTCTATGCGCAAGTGCAATGTGCACCTAGGTGTGGGCCCCGTGCGTGTTGTCGTGTTCGAAGTTCGACCCCTCAACTCCGGTGGTTCTCGGTCGCTTCCTGGCTGTTCGTAAATGACGCACTGCCCCCCATACAACAGCCCCCGCCATACAATGCGTTCCCCTTCGGGACGAACAGGTAGACGGGGAGCGCTCCCGGAGTGAGGTGAGGATCACCAGGGAGATATGACGAATGTAAAATTGCCTCATCGTCCCCCTCCGGTGCTCGTCGAGCAATTAACATGACTCGAACACGATGGGCTCCCGGCTGACCTAGTTCTTTTGGCCGACGCCTCGGCGCTCCTATCATGACACTTATTTGCATCACTGAGCCAGCCGGGAGCGCCGGGAGAGGGGAGGGGGGCAAGGGCAAGGGCGGCTTACTACATGAGACAGCAGCAGACGGGTGAGATTATATGTCCCATTTCAGCCCCGGGGGTGATCCGAGGCCCTTCCGGATCACTATCCGAGGTGTTCTGTAAAGCTGCGCAGCGCGCAGCAGCGTCTGTCCTCGCAGGGTGCACAAGTACTACGCTTGACTGTACTTTGGCCGCGAGTTTCAAGATAATTTTGATGTGTGGCTTTGGCAGTGCGAATTTGTCGCCTGGCGGTGCCGCGGGGGGTTGTGCAGTTGTTTTGCGAGCCTCGCAGACATGTATTTAGAAAGCCGCTGACTCGGTCGCTGACGCGAATCCGCGCATGTTAGGGCACCTCGCTTGAGGAAAAAAGTGTCCATGTTTCCAGGAAGTTTTCCTCAAAGG